ATGTGACAATCGGGTTTAAGGGCAGATGTGGCAATCGGGTTTAAGGGCAGATGTGGCAATCGGGTTTAAGGGCAGATGTGGCAATCGGGTTTAAGGGCAGATGTGGCAATCGGGTTTAAGGGTAGATGCGGCAATCAGGTTTAAGGGCAGATGTGGCAATCAGGTTTAAGGGCAGATGTGGCAATCAGCTTTAAGGGTAGACGTGGCAATCAGGTTCAAGGGTAGACGTGGCAATCAGGTTCAAGGGTAGACGTGGCAATCAGGTTCAAGGGTAGATGTGGCAATCAGGTTTATTTGCAATTATGAATCTGTACCCAATATTAAAATGATATTGGCATTATGAAGCAGAGAACTGAATTTCATTAATGCTTACATTATTATTTAGCTGCATTCAACAATTTTGCATATAATTTCTATTGTTGTATTTGAGTTAAAGAATAAAGAAGCTACACAATATACATCAGTATATTATCAATATGGCATGTCTACTTACTTTCCATCGTCTGCATGGTATCCTATAGAATCTGCAAACCAGCCTGGTTGTCTGTCTAATTTATAGTATTTATGGACTAATCCTATAGCTATGGTTCCACTCTCACCTACATCCAGCAGCTCAATCTGAAGAGGACAGACAAACAACGACAATTTAATAACATCTACAAATGTAATAAGTAGACTACTAAACTCTGTACCATATTTGTTCTATTAGTACTATAGCTATGGTTCCACTCTCACCTACATCCAGCAGCTCAATCTGAAGAGGACAGACAAACAACGACAATTTAATAACATCTACAAATGTAATAAGTAGACTACTAAACTCTGTACCATATTTGTTATATTAGTAGTACACGCACTTACGTATTTTTGTAGGTTTTGTACTACTTAAACTGTATTTTTATACTATGCCACAGTATGCCCTCTAAGACAATATGACGCACCATTGCTGTAACACAAGTAACTTTGCCAATTTCACTGGTGTGTGCGTTGATGCAACAAAAATATCATATATTGATCTTAGAAAACATGTTGCAATAAGTTGTGGAAATTGTAATTTAGTAAAATGAATGCAAAATAAGTATAAAATCAAAGAAAATCAGGGATACAACATTTTTCTTAATGCCTCAAGTCACCTATACAGTCGCATACAACAACACCAACAGCCAGCTAGGACATTTTCCCCCTTGTATATCTTTTCCTTCATCTACCATGATACAATCCCAGCTATGAATACATTATCATGTCTGTGTAGCAAAATGTTTCCTGTGTGTGAAACACTCATTCTTGTACAAAAATGAGGATACCTCTCTCAAAGTTAGTGTTCAAGAAAAGTTAAAAGAAAGAATTAACTGCAATAAATTGGGGTTTAGAGTAGGGTTAGCAGGGTTCTCCCCAGCAGACAGAGAGTGCTGGACGGTATGAATATTCATGAATATTCACTCATTAATATGCATGAACTAATTAATATTCAAAATGGCCACATACTGGCAAGAAGACAGGTCATATGTATTGATATTTATTATACAGTATGAAACATCACAACACAACACAGGATAAATAATACACAAACAAATCATCTTTGAAGACATGATGCATAACTAATTGAAAGCACAAAATATTT